GGGGGGGGAGTATCACATTTATGGGCATCATAATATTGTGAATTGCTGTGTGTGCCAGCACAGAATTCTCTGTGTATGACTAGGGGTGTGCATGTAGATATATGTAACTGTGTTGGCAGTCATTCATTTAACATGTAACTACTAAGTGTCAGGCACTGTTCTAGGTTCTTGTGATACATCAGTCAACAAAACAGGCAAAGAGCCCAGCTATAATGGTGCTTACAAGGGTGGGGGGGCCACTTAGGAGGGATAAAAACAATTTAAAGAAGCACAGAATATAGTAAGTTAGAAGGTGCAATGGAGGGAGTGGGTGGAGTAGAGCAAGATGAAAGGATGGGTTGCAATTTTATTTTATTTTATTTTTATTTCAGAGAGAGGAAGGGAGAGGGAGAGAGAGAAAAACATGGGTGTATCAACATCCCCCCCCTCCCCCGCATGGCCCCTGCTGGGGATCAAGCAGCAACCTGGGCATGTGCCCTGACCGGGAATCTAACCTGTGACCTCTTGGTGCATGGGTCCACGCTCAACCAAAGCACAGGCCACACCCGCCGGGCTGGGTTGCAATTTTAAATAGGATGTCAGAGTAGGACCCACCGGAAGGTGAATTTTGAGCTGATACCTGAAGGGGAGACAAGGAAGTTGGCCATGAAGATATCTGGAGAGTCTTCCAGGCAAAGAACAGCTTATCTAGCATTTATAAGGAACAGTCAGGAGGCAGGAGAGGCTGGAGTGGGGTGAGTAGGGGCCAGTGAGGTTAGGGGGCTGACCAATGGCTCTGTGCCATCCTCGTTGTCCATCTCAGGGCGTGTTTCACGGTCCATCCCCACGGTCCGGTTCGCCTGGTGCTTCGTGCGCCTCACTGTTCAAGTCCAGGGGCGCACCATTCGCCCTGGGTACCTGGATGTCCCTAACGGCGCTCGTGCACGTGTGTACACCACAGAGGCACACAGGTCCCGGGGTCCGAGCCCGCTGCGCCCCAGCTCGCCCGCCTCTCCAGGTACGGAGGGGGGCTCACGCGGCTCTGTGTGCCCCGCCCCTGCAGACCCCCGCTCTGCGCTGCGTGTGCGCGCTGGCCCTGACCTACCTGGTGGCGCTGCTGCAGCGGCCCGAGGGCGCCCTGGGGGAGGAGCAGCAACTGCAGCAGCCGCGCGGGCCCAGGGCGGCCTTTTGGCTGAGCACCATCAGCCATTTCAACAAATACATAGACAAGCTCTTCAACCGCAGGTAGGCTGGCGGACCGGGCGAGCGGGAGGGGAGGCGCGGGGAGGAAATATACGCCACCTGCCCCACCCCCACCCCGGGTATCGCAGCCCCACCTCTGCAAAGACGTGTTCTCCAGCTTGAAATCTAAGGACACCAATAAATCGAAAGACGTTCTAAACCCCAGGAAAACCGTGAACAACACAAAAGCCCCACCAGCGAACGCCACGAAAGCCCCACCAGAAAATGCCATCAAAGTCCCACCAGAAAATGCCATCAAAATCCCATCAGCAAACGCCATCAAAGTCCCACCAGAAAATGCCATCAAAGTCCCACCAGAAAATGCCATCAAAGTCCCACCAGAAAACGCCATCAAAGTTCCGCCAGCGAACGCCACCAAAGTCCAATCGGCAAACGCCATCAAAGTCCCACCAGAAAATGCCATCAAAGTCCCACCAGAAAACGCCATGGAAGTCCCACCAGCGAACGCCACGAATGGCCAATCGGCAAACGCCATCAAAGTCCCACCAGAAAACACCATCAAAGTCCCACCAGCAACTGCCATCAAAGTCCCACCAGAAAACACCATCAAAGTCCCACCAGCAACTGCCATCCAAGTCCCACCAGCAAACGCCACCAAAGTCCCACCAGCAAGTGCGATGAAACCCCGTCCACCGAACTCCAAGAAATTCCTACTGCAGGACACCACGAAACCCTGACCATCAACCTCCTTCTAGGGAGAGCCTGGGCACAGCTGGCACTAGTCAGGGGCCTCGGGACTGGGGGCAGATTGGGCAGAAGCGAGAGGAAGACCTGGGGGGGCGGATACCTTCTCCAGGCTGGGCTTTCACCTCCAGATGCCCGGCTCAAGTCTCCCCACCCACCGATCTCCTTTATATTTTTTTGTGAGAGGGTCCCTAACTCCTCCCACCTACCCCCCCGTGAAAACAGTAAAGAGAAATAGAATGTCTATTGCTTCCATGACTAATGTGGGCCCTGGACTGGAAGGGGCCTACCTGTCCTTCAAGGGAGAGAGGACTCTGGAGCTCCTGCTGAGAAAAAGACCTCAGCTACAGGGGCGTCCCTGCCTCCTCCCTGCAACCCATCCACCTCACACACATACCGCACTGCCAGGGTTGGGACTCTCACCAACAGGGAGAACAGAGTGAGAGAAGTAGATTCCAGCAGCTGCAAAGGAGGGGCTTCAGCCAGACCCCCACCCCATGTTTCTACACAGAGCAGGGCAGTTTCCATGATAGCCCAGGACGTCAGTGTTTGTACAGGAACAAGCGACAGCAGTGCCTTTGCCTGCCCCTTAGTGTGCAGAGCATAAGGTCCTGCCTTTGCCTCCTGGACCCTCTCAGCCCCACTGGCAGTGAGCAGAGCAGGGGAAGGGCTGGGAGCCCAGCCAGGCCTGTCCCTGAGAAGCTGGTGAGAGGGTGTCACTATCCTCTGGGAGCTGATGGCCATCAGAGAGGCCTGGGCAGGGGCAGATCCAACTCATACGCAGCTGTGTCCTGAGTAGGGTCCTAATTCCTGACCCTGGGAAGTGTCTACATCTCTCCCTACTCAGAACCCCTCCCTGGGGTAGGACTTCAGGGTCCATCATCCAGACCCAAATTCAGATCTTCTGCTGAAATCAGCCCCCCTCCCAAATACCCCCTTGGACTTAAGAATCAGCCTGAGCCATGCATCTGTCTGGTAGCTGCATCCTCTCCAGCCCTTTGCCTTTTAGGGCCTGGTTCCACTTTCAGGTCATTTGCATGCACCAGACACAGCCAGGACTGGAGGGGAAACATGATGTGGTGTCATTACTGTGAGATCCGTGTGAGGTGCTGAGCCCAGGAAAGTGGATCCCTCATCCACCAAACCCACCAGCCCCCATCTCTGCAGGCAAAGCAAGTGAGGGAGGTAGGAGAAGCCATTCCAGGAACCAGAAAAGTTCTAATTCTCTCACTCCTCCTTCCCACCCCTACTCCCATGACTATCCCTTATCCACAGGTGCTCCTAGCCCAGGAAAAGGGGAGAGAGACAAGCTCCTCCTTGTCACACACACACCACCCCATCCCCACCTATTCAGGTACCTGAGAACGGCAAGGGCTAGGGAAGGCCACTGGGACCCACTGGGACTCCTCAGTGCGGGCCTCCCTGGAGCAGGATCCCTTTTGAGCCCTCCCAGAACTAGAGTGTGGAATCCGCAGATTAGCCTCCTCCCTGGAACCTGAACTCCCCCATGGCCTCCCCTCCTACAGCTGTTTGAAGAGCTCCTTTGCCCAGGAGTTCACAACCTCTCAGGACAAGTTCTTTCCAAATTTCTGGTTCTTCAAAGATATTTCCTATAGTCACCTAAAGCCTGCCTTCCAGAATCCCTTCCATGGGCCTCTACCCACTCCTCCCATGTTTGAAGAGCATGTTATCTCTCTGGCGTCTTCCCACATTTTCGTGGAAATATTTTCGTGGCTGCACCACAAGTCTGCCCCCAAAAAGCTCCCATTTGCTGAGCGCTTCCCTGGGTCAAGGGCCAAGCTAACTGTTTCACATGCATTACTTCATGTCATGCTCATTACAACCCTATCATTAACATTTTACAGATTTGCCATGTGAGGCTCGGAGAGGTTATATCCCTGCCCCAAAGCACACAGGAAGAACCTGGGTTCATCTGACTCTAACACTGATGCTGGATCCCTCTATGAGGATGCCGTCTGAGGCAGGACCCTGCACAAGCTGTGGTACCTCTCTGAGCCTTGGTCTCAGAGGATAACAGTTATCATGCTCACAGGGTTGTTGGGAGGGTTAAATACCCTTGGCACACAGTAGGCTCCTTTTCCCAGTAATCTGCACATGACACCATCTCCACACCCCTCCCCTCCACAGTCCCCCTCCTCAGACCATGCTTCTGCTGAGCTGTGTATCCCCTTATGTGCTCCAACTGAACATGCGCAGTGGCCTGCCCGGTGGAGGGCAGCTCTGATGCCATTGGTGCAGCCGGTGACTTAGCACCAGCCATTCCTCTGGGCTGGGCTGTCACTCCTGCCCTCATGCCAAGGACACTAAGCTGTAGGAAAGAATTGTGGGGGTACATTTTGGGACAAGGCTGTTATGGGGCCCATGATCAGGAGAGTGTAGGTGCTGAAATGGAAGATTCAAGCCCAAGACCGCCCCTTCCCTGACTTGCTGAGTGACCTTGGGGGAGTCCCTGTCCCCTCTGTAAAGTAGAGAGGATAAGCTGAATGGCTCTGATGACCCTGTAGATGTTCTGAATCATTCATAGCACCCTCCTTTCCCTTCTCCTCCCTCCCCTCCCCCTTTCTCTCCCAAACCTTTGGCTGCTCCTGCCCCACCAAGGGTCCAGAGACACAGAGAGAGACTATGTCTTTGATTTGCTTTATTTAGCCTGTGTGGGAGCGGGGAGCAAGCTTTGGCCAGAGCCAAGCGCGTGGAGTGGAGAGCTGGGCCGGCACTGCCCTTGAGTGGGCAGAGGCAGGAGGTGACATTACACATCCACCTGGCTGTGAGGAGAGGGCAGAACATGGCAGTGTGAGTGGGCAGTCCTCATACCCTCAGGAGACCTCAAGGTCAGCCCTAGGCCCCTGTTCTGCCCCCCACTCACCTCCACTGACCGCCCCACCCCCATTTCAGCCCCAAGGAGCTGGCACACAGGACAGGGGATCAAACCTACCTGGGGACAGCTTTGTTGGGGAATTCCCACTCCAAGAAGTTCAGGGTATCTTCTTTGTCTCGTTTCCCATATCTGGGAGGGGAGAGGCAGCTGAGGCAAGCAAGCCCTGTGCCCAGGTGCCAGCCCAGCCCACCTGCCTCATGCCTGCCAGGGGCACATGGGCCCAGGCCTGGTCCGTAGAGAGGCTCTGCTTTCCCAAGAACGTGGAAAGGCAGGGGGTGGGACCGCTCTCCCTCTCTCATACACACCTGGGCCTGGTCAGCATGTTGATGTATCTGCGGAGCTCAGCTGCATACTGGGCCATCTGCTCCGGTGTGGCGTTGTCTCCTGGGTACACTGGCTCCAGAGGGGCCCCCGAGGCACCCAGAGGTGACTGCAGCAACAAAGCCACACACGTGGACAGGAACAGCAGGGAGAGGCAGTGGCTTGCAGCAGCCATCTGAGGAGCAAGGAGTGGGAGGGGAGATGGAGGCAGAACAGAGCCCACCCACCCAGTCTCTTAGCCCATCACCTACTTCTCCAAGCCTGGGGACAAGAGGGCAGAGCAAAGAGCCTCTCAGACCTTATCACCCCACCTCCTAGACACTGCCTCAGAAAGTACAGACAACTCCTCTCGTGAGCAGCCAGAGCTCAGCCAGGGCCTCAGAGGAGGTAGGGACATGGGGCAGGAGACACAGGACTCATGACATCCAGGGCCTGATGGCTCTGAGGAGGCAGATGTGGGGTAGGGGTTGGAGGGACAAGGTTGGTGGGAAGTAAGGGCACTCCTGCTCACCTACAAGGCAGGGCACACAGAATGAACTTGTGAACCAATGGACAGAAATCAGTGGCCTGTGGGTCTGCTCCTCCATCCCCCGCCAGGGATGGACATGCAGATACAGACGGTCACGGTCACACACATGGATCCCAATCACTCACAAGTTCAAAATCGCTCACACATTTGTGTTCACAGCCACCATCAACCACTCCCCACACACATTTTCAATCTTCTGGTCACAGGCGGCCCTTCCAGGGTGACAAATTTGTCCAGATGTAGAGCCAGAACCACACAGGACCTCAGGCCTCTGGAGGCCCCCAGCCCTGCAAAGCATCAGCTGTTTCCCCACCTATCCCAGGCCTAGCCCCGGGGAGTCCCCCAAAGTCCCCCAGACCTTGGGGAAAGCTGAGCCCACTTACCCTGAGTCTTGAGCAAGCGAGCCCTGGACCAAGCCTGCCTTAGACTGGACGTGTCCCCTGCTGTCCGCCTTGCCCCTTTATAGCCCTCAGCCCCCAGAGTCCCCGCCTTCTGTCAGCCTCTCTCACTCCCCAGCCTTCACACCCCCCTCGCGCAGTCTCCCTGGTACCGCAGCGCCAGCCAGCTAGCTCCCTGAGGCCAGGGACAGGAGAGGCACAGGGCAGCGCTGTGAGAGCAGACTTAGCAGTGTAATGGGTAGAAGGGAACTACAGTAAGTCTCCTGCGGGCTCCCAGCTGCCTTTGGGCACCAAGAGCAGGTTTGGTCCAAGGAAGACAGGGTTCTGGGACCTCGGGATGAATGAAAGGTTCTGGCCTCAAGCCTTGGAACAGCACCCCTCCCAAGGATTAACTCAAAGCATCAAACAAATTCCCTCAGGGCAGAAGATTGAGGCTGGGGCTCTGAGACCGGGATGAGGGATGGAGACTCGGGACTTTCCTTTCCAGTCTGTGATTAGACAAGGTGGAAGTGGGCGAGATGCCTCAGGTGACTAGGCAATGTGAGAAGGAGTGGGGGCCCAGCCCAGGAGAAACCCACTCTGGCTGGTGTGTAGGATGCAAAATTAGAACTGATATGCCCGGGTTCAGAAGAAATGGGGGTGCCAATTTCTGGTGGTCACTGCAGAGCCCCCATTCCAGGGGAGTGATAAAAACCAGCATCATTTGTAAAGCCTTGAGTTTTCCAGAGTGCTCCCAGTTCAATCACCTCACTGAGTTCCTATAACATCCCATTATACAGACTCAGAAACTGAGGCTCAGAGCCATTAAGGCTGACATAATTAGTCAGTGGTAGTTGATTCAGGGTTTGAAATAAAGTCTAACTCCAAAATCTGGGCTCTTTTTTTCTAAGTGGGGTTGTCAAAGTTGTGCTATAATTTCCCATTTTTTGGCTGAGAAACATGAGGCTCACAGAGGTGAAGACACTTGCCCAAGATCACACAGCTGTCTAGGGCTCAAGTTCTGGCCTAGATTCCCAACTCCACCCAGGAGGCTCCGAATTGCCCCTGCTCTCTGTCCCTTCCCAACTCCAGACCAAGGAACAGCAACTGGCTGCGCCTGAACGACACGCAGAAGCCTGAGAAGGAAGCGCAGGGCCTCTCACCCCTGAAGTTCTGCTGTCCCAGATCAGGACACCAAAAGTGTGTGTTAGGAGTTTGGGGTGTGTGGGGGAGGACTGGAGGTGATGCCGCAGGAATCTGAGCTTTGATTTTCCTCAAGATCGTGAGGAAACATGGGAGCTCCGCTTGTTCCTCTCATTTCTGATTTCTGGCAGCAACAGCAATGATGCTTCACCCGACAACTCACTTTCCACAAAGCAAATGTGGAGGTGGTTCTGCCTCTGCAAACCCCCGCCTTTCTCCACAGAACCCCGCAGTTCTGGGTTCTGACCTGGAATCAAGGGAGGTGAAAGCAGCGGTGGGCCCCAGCTGGGGTCTCTAGTGGGGCCGGCAGAGGCCGCTCCCTGCCACCAGGGGACGCTAGGCTCCAACCGCAGTTGGAAGGGTCTGAACTGCAACAGGACCATAGGCCGGTGGGACCTATTCTGGGCTCTGTCCTCAGCAGGCCCCAGCCCCCGCAGACAGATGGTGGATCTGGCCATTAACTCAAGTGCTGAGGCCATTTACAGTTTTGTAAACAGCTTTGTCACTGCCTAAGAAATGACAGGTACTTCACAATGTCAACTGAACGTATAGGTTCATTTTTCTCCTTTGCAAACAAGATTCCTTTTCTGGGTGCTCTCCGGATGTGACAGCCCAGGAGGAAGAGATAGTGGATGTGCTTTCTAAACAATGTGGCGTGTCCAGAACAGTGACGGCTGGTCTCACTGACTCATCTTCGTAAGTTTCCAGGACTTGCCATGGGGCCCTGCTTAGAGAAGTACCAAGTACCTACCTGCAGGTGGGCTAAATGCAAATGCCAGCGGCCCCCCC